ATGTGTCGTAGTTTTCTTGCTATAGCATACGTCGTAAAGTTATCTTGCTATAGCATGTGTCGTAAAGTTATCTTGCTATAGCATGCGTCAAAGTTTTCTTGCTATAGCATGTGTCGTAGTTTTCTTGCTATAGCATACGTCGTAAAGTTATCTTGCTATAGCATGTGTCGTAAAGTTATCTTGCTATACCATGTGTCGTAAAGTTTTCTTGCTATAGCATGCGTCGTAAAGTTATCTTGATATGCCATGTGTCGTAAAGTTATCTTGCTATAGCATGTGTCGTAATGTTATCTTGATATACCATGTGTCGTAAAGTTATCTTGCTATAGCATGTGTCGTAGTTTTCTTGCTATAGCATACGTCGTAAAGTTATCTTGCTATAGCATGTGTCGTAAAGTTATCTTGCTATACCATGTGTCGTAAAGTTTTCTTGCTATAGCATGCGTCGTAAAGTTATCTTGATATGCCATGTGTCGTAAAGTTATCTTGCTATAGCATGTGTCGTAATGTTATCTTGATATATCGTGTCGTAAAGTTATCTTGCTATAGTATGCGTCATAGTTTTCTTGCTATATATAGCATGTGTCGTAAAGTTATCTTGCTATAGCATGTGTCAAAGTTGTCTTGCTAAAGCATGCGTTGTAGTTATCTTGCTATAGCATGCATCGTAAAGTTTTCTTGCTATAGCATGCGTCGTAAAGTTTTCTTGCTATAGCATGCTTTGCAAAGATTTTTTGATATAGCATGCGTTTCAAAGTTATCTTGCTATAGCATGCGTTGTAAAGTTATCTTGCTATGGCATGTGTCGTGGTTATCTTGCTATAGTAAGCGTCGTAAAGTTTTCTTGCTATAGCATGTTTCAAATTTATCTTGCTATAGCATGCGTCACAGTTTTCTTGCTATAGCATGTGTCGTAAAGTTTTGTTGCTATAGCATGTGTCGTAGTTATCTTGCTATAGTAAGCGTTGTAAAGTTTTCTTGCTATAGAATGCGTCGTAAAGTTATCTTGCTATAGCATGTGTCGTAAAGTTTTTTGCTATAGCATGTGTCGTAAATTTATCTTGCTGTGGCATGCGTTGTAAAGTTTTCTTGCTATAGCATGCGTTGTAAAGTTTTCTTGCTATAGCATGCGTCGTAAAGTTTCTTGCTATAGCATGCGTCGTAAAGTTTCTTGCTATAGCATGTGTCAGTTTTCTTGCTATAGCATGTGTTGTAAAGTTTTCTTGCTATAGCAGTCAAAATTTTCTTTCTATCGCATGTGTCGTTATCTTGCTATAGTATGCATCGTAAAGTTTTCTTGCTATAGCATGCGTTGTAGTTATCTTGCTGTGGCATGCGCCATAGTTTTCTTACTGTAGCATGCGTCGTAGTTATTAATCTATAGCATGCGTCATAGGTTTCTTGCTATAGCATGCATTGTAAAGTTTTCTTGCTATAGCATGTGTTGTAAAGTTATCTTGCTAAAGCGTGTGTCGTAGTTATCTTGCTATAGCATGTGTCAAAGTTATCTTGCTAAAGCATGTGTCGTAAAGTTATCTTGCTATAGCATGTGTCAGTTTTCTTGCTATAGTATGTGTTGTAAAGTTATCTTGCCATAGTATGTTTCGTAAATTTGGCAATGATGATCTTGAAAAGAATTGAACCGGAGCTTGAGCTTGTTTTTACATGGTTTATTGATCTTGAACAAAGTGAAACTTTATATTAGTACTGTTTACAAAACTCTTCATGACAGTCACTGTGAACATCACTTGTTATAAATATGCTGCATTATTTTTAAATCGACTTTTTTTGACCGGATTAAAACTCTTTAAATTGTTAATATGTATTTATACATGTGAGAGGAATGATTAGCGTATGAAACGGTTCACGGTTCACAAGCAGACTCAGAGCACCCTGACATCCAGCAGCGAAACATCTCCCAGAACCTCCAGCTGCTTGATGCGGGTCAGGTCCTGGACTCTGTGCTTGTAGTCCAGTTGGTGCCGTCCGTTTACGGCAACTCTGAACTGCTGAGACTCACAAATGATGATCATCTACAGAGAAACCACAACCGTGTCAGAAACATCAAACACACTACAAGAGGATCATTTAATGAAGTATTTGTACATAAACTGAGAAATACCTCAAAGTACTCTCCATCACTGAAGGGGAAGCACTCGAGACTTTTCTCCTCTGGACCCCAACACTCCCCCAGGTACGAGTTCCTGATGAAGTCTTTCTTCTTCATACGAGGGTTCAGGTGAAGAGCTATGTTGGTGCCGCTCGACTCTCGTAGATTCACAACAAAACTGGAAAAGAAACAATTTGAATATTTCTGTAAGTTATTCCTCTTGTGAATATTTCAGTAAGTTATTCCTCTTGTGAAAAGTTGTGTGTCTGAGTTCACTCAGGTGTGTCGTACCTGATGCCGTTTTTGTTGATTTGTCCTTTGATGATGATCCTGTGTCTGTCGCTCAGCCCTTCGCCCAGACTCAGTGTGAAGGGAATACGCTGCAGACAGGAAGTAGTTCAACAATAAAACATTGCACTACAAAATAAAAGCACATTTCTTGTTCTGCAAAACAGTTCAGTATTTTGGTTTTAAGATAAAAGTTAAGAGTTAAGTTATTTTTCCTAAAAACAGGTTGGACTTTCTTCAACAGATGGACTCACCAGGTCGCCTGAAGATGACACCACCGGCTGAAAAAAAAAAAAAAAAACAGACAGGAAACTGGGATTAAACAAAACTATTTGGATTAAAAACCAGCAGAAAACTCTGTTTGTTCACCTCTGACTCCAGACTGGTCAGACTGGCAGCCGGAGAGACGGGATTCTAAAAAACAAACAAACAAAAAGGTTAAAGCAACGAAGAAACGAGTTGAGAACATCAGAGTCTGTCGGACTCACAGAAGCAGGAGGGACGACGCCCAGAACCTGAATCCTGACCCGTCCAGAGATCATGATGGTGTCGACCCGCTCCAGGTCCACCCGGTGTTTGTACTCCACCAGGTGAGCTCCGTTCACCGCTACCTGAGCAACGAGAGCAGGAAGAAACTCTGCTGAGGTTTCTGTTGGACAAGACGGTCATTTTACTGCAGCTGAATGAGCCGAAGTTAAACAGCTGAAAGAACTAAAGCTTAAAGGCATCCAGGATTAGTTGTAATGTTAGACTTTATTTGATAAACATATATTTTAACTGTAAAATAAAGACTGTAAAAATACTGTAGGATGTTTAGTTTTTATTATTGTTAAACTAAAAGTTTAAAAATATATTTCACAGACGGAGCCATTTTATTTACACACAAAGCATTCTGGGTAAATGATGACATGGATAGGTCCTCGGTGCGAGGCTGCTAGCGAACTGAAAATATGGATGGAGGACCTCAGTTTAGCTTGTTTGTCGCGCTAGCGCCAAGCTAATACATAT